TGCCTTGGAGAACTAATATGTTTTCCAAGCAATCTTTGCTATTGTTTTCACCAACATTATGACCAACGGGTGGTTGCCTCCGCGAAACCATCGATAGTGCTGAGAGACGATGATCGGAAGGAGTGAAGTTATTTGGGGCCTGATGGCATATAATTATGGCAAGAAGAACGATTAATCGAGGTGAGATCAATTGCATCGTATACACTCTTGGATCGGAAGTTTGGCAAGCAAAAGAAAATGACTTGCCAAAATCGGGTCGGTAATTTTCAGTAATTATCGTAGGGAGCATTCGAATAAAAACGAGAGATAAATTGGTCGAATCGACTTCAAATTAAGGCAAGGAACTTTTCCTTTTTTACATTTCAGCTTGAATGAGTTGATTCATTACATATATAGTATTTAGCGGCGCCAACAAAATTATCTATTCATCAAAATGTCTTTGACCAAGACATTCTTTCTGCTCATTGATAATTAATTAAAAAGACTTTTAACAATAACTTCAATTAAGTAACTTACTTTAACAATAATAATGATAATAACTAGCTTATTTAATACAAAATTAATTAGAAGAGATTAATAGCAAATAACGAACAATGTTATGAGTTATTTAAAATAAAATTTTCGTATAAAAACTGAGTTAACATTGTTATTGGCTGTTGATCTCTATTATAAGTTAACTTCTTTTTTAAATTACTTTAATTTAAAAGATTTGTTATTGTATAACAATCATTACAATATAAAAATTAATAAGATAAAATTAAGATTTTTATTATAATATGATTTGATTGCATCAATATGAGTGTCTTTGCATTAAAGATAAATTCTGAAATTGTCCAACAAATTAATTTTCAAATGATACTACGATCCTTATTTAATGTTGTAACCTCACAATATTTATAAATAGAAATGTTTGAAAAGTATATTGATTAGACCAGCGATTTAAATCATTGAATGCGTGTAGTGTTGGTGTTATATACTCTCAAAATTTCGCATCGAATGACTCACGAAATATCTTAAAATTTAGACCCCCCTGAGGATGTCTCATAATTGACGTTAAGAGGCTCACTGACATTTTGATCGGCTTAAACGACTAGTATATAAAAGAAAATATAAAACATAAAAATAAGTAATTATATGTAGAAAGAAGTGCATTATATAATATATATACTTCATTTTCACTATTCGTTGTCACATAATTTTAGCATAACGTTTTAATATAACAACATTCTCAATCTCTTATATTATTGAGAAATAAATAACGTGTATTACAGTGAGAAATTGCGTGGTTTATAATACAGTCCGTGTGGCCAGTCTGCGAAAAATATTGTTCTCATATTACACGAGTGTTTTATCCGGAAAAGTGAGCATATTCATTGAATTAAAAAAGTAAAATTAAAATATTGCGTAACGTAAATGTATATTCGTGATGCGAGAGAACAGGAAGACCTACGACGCATTATTTATTCAATTACGGTTTTCATTTTCATTTTCATCGTGATTTACAAACGTACAGCGATAATCAGTTGCGAATACCGCGCGCGAGAAACCGTTCCATAAACATTTTTAAAGGGCTTGTTTTTCTATTATACATAGATGTGAAAAGCAGGTCTTGAAGGGTGCCGCCTTCATATTGACGCGTGTCATAAACTTTTTCTAAAGGTATGAAAAACGTGAAACTATATATATTCTCCTTAAATATCATTCCTCTCAATTTTAACATATCGACTCGTATTTCAATATTTAATATAGAAGCAAATGAATGGATATGAGTACATTTGTATACGCGCGTAGATATATTGTTTTTAAATAATAACGTATTAAAATATTATAATAAATATTAAGTGGCATTAAAAATTAAAAGTTGTTTATTAATATTTTACAAAAATATATGTAAAATATATGTAAAATGGTTTTTTGACAATAACATCTAATCACAAGTATTTTTAATAAGTTAAGCTACCAGAAGGTTTGCGGATTATCGACGTGTTTTTATCCATTGCTAATGCGAGCGGGTATATTAAGATAGCACCCCAACTATAGTACTCAGGAGTTCTGATTAGAGTTCCCACTTCCTTTTGACGAGACGAAGAGTTCCCTATAGTTAATAACAAGAGTTCCGCTCAATAAACATTCTTTTTACATTTTTTAAAAATGGGGTGCTAACTTTTTATCAAATTTCGAGGTGGAATAGTTCTGAGCGGCTTAATAGCTTCCATTTGCGATTGCCTAGAGTTCCTGATATGTAAAAAAAATTTTCGAATAATAAAAAAAAAATTAAAAATTTTTGAAAAATTAATTTTTAGATACAATAGTTCTGATGATAATTTCTACTTCTTTTTGACGATACGAAGAGTTCTCTATGATTTTTAATGACATATGCGCTTAAGAATCATTTTTTAATAATTTTTTAAAAATGGCCGGGGTGCTAATTTTTTAACGAAATTCAAGGTCGCATAGTTCTGATCAACTTAACAGAACTATTTTGTGAATACCTAGAGTTCTTGATACATAAAAAACATTTTTGAAATATAATAAAGTTTAAAAAAAATAGTGGAAAAATCTTTGAAAATTTTTTTGAGAGTACCGAGTAGTTCTGAGTAGCATTTCTTATAGTACTCGACGAGTTCTATCGAAAACTGTAAGGTGGAAAAGCGATTGGACCAACGGTTTGCAAGATACAGCGACATTTGTCAGAAAATCAACAATTTTTAGAGTATATCTCGGAAACCATTGGTCCAATTGCTTTACGCCCTGATACTTTTCGACAGAACTCGTCGAGAACTGTCCAGAACTCTGAACAGAACTACTCGGTACTCTCAAAAAATTTTCCGACGTGGGACTTGGAAAAAAATTTGAAGTCAAAATCTACTATTTTTTAAAAACTTTATTATTCTTCAAAAATGTTTTTTATGTATCAAGAACTCTAGGTATTTACAAAATACTTTTGTTAAGCTGATCAGAACTATGCGACCTTGAATTTCGTTAAAAAGTTAGCACCCCGGCCATTTTTAAAAAATTATTAAAAAATGATTCTTAAGCGCATATGTCATTAAAAATCATAAAGAACTCTTCGTATCGTCAAAAAGAAGCAGAAATTATCATCAGAACTATTGTATCTAAAAATTAATTTTTCAAAAATTTTTAATTTTTTTTT